AAAGCACGGACAATTTTGAATGTTTAAAAATGCACGTTTGGCAACACATCTTACCTAAATTGGATGTGAAATAATATTCATGCAGTAGCCCTGACACTCACAAATCCTCCGATTTCAATATGAATTTACACGCATCCAAGGAGTTAGGGTTAAAGAAGTGTGAAAAGTTGTAGAGAAAAATGGAAAACAAATCATTGCTGTTGCCCATTAGAGTGATTGCATTTCACATTTTTTTTTTCAATGGTTCCTTGCCATGTTAAAGGAACTATTACCGAGTTCCAGTTGCTAGGGCTCATTAAGGGTGGTAAAATTACATGTTACATGCAGATTAAAACAGAAACCCTCTGTTTGATTTCTCAAGTTGGCAACTACATGCAGTCATACGGTCTGGTTCCTTCAAGAAGGATTGTCAAACCCGATGCCCCTACATGTATGAGTGTAAAGAGCATCACTGACAAGTAGTCTGTTAAACTCATAGATGTCGCCTTTCTTTGCGCTTCATTTCCAGAGCCTGATATCGGCATGCCCGGTAAGCAGGCCCATCGGTACTTTTGTCAGTTGATAGCCGGCGTGGAGTACTTGCACCGGAAGGGCGTGACACACAGAGACCTCAAGCCGGAAAACTTGCTCCTGGATGATAACGGTGAGAGAAATGTTGTAAGATTGCTGTCGTAACAGATGTTGACCTGGGTCCAATTTCAGGGTTGTTAGGTACGGGATTTTTTGCTGACGGAACTGCCGTCCATTTCACAGATGTAAGCAGTATTCATGCAAAAGAGCTCGCTATTCAGCTGAGTTGAGCATGCGCACGCACTATCACAACATGACTGTCAAATTTGCATCAGTGTGAATGAGATGCGTGTTCAGACATTATGTACATGTAATTTCTAGAATATAGTGCAGGAGTGACTGGTTACAGTGCGCTCAGTTATAAATCCTGAAAAGTCTGCCAGCTTAAGTGGCACAATTCAGTCACCGGTACACGTTTTTACCCCTCGGCCGGTGAAGTTCAGAAGAATATCCTATTTCCCTCGGGGTGCGTAAAATATCCACTAGTGACCATGCTCCCGGTCCGTATTCCTTCCTCCTTCCGCATTCTCTCACAGACAACCTAAAGATCTCGGATTTCGGTCTGGCCACCGTCTATCGGCACCAGGGCAAGGAGCGGCTGATGAACAAGTGCTGCGGCACGCCGCCGTATGTGGCTCCCGAGGTCTTGAAGAAAGAGGAGTACCACGCGGAGCCGGCTGACTTCTGGTCCTGTGGGATCATTCTGGTGGCCATGCTGGGTGGAGGTTAGCGCACCAAATTGGTTGATAGTTTCCCTGTTTCCCCAAGATCCTGCAAAATCCTTCAGAAGATCTTTGAGGATTTTGTGGGATTCAGTGTTAAGGTAGAGCCCATCCTCTTTCCAAAAGGCTTGATGTCCTTGGAGCGTAACAAAGTATAAAAGTGAATGTGCATGCGGTTACCGCATAGTGGGGAAATTCTTGCAAAATAGCCAAGGGATGTAGGGTTAATTTCACTTATTATTAGTAGTAATTATTTCTGGTAATGACACCAAGGATTCCTCAAAAAGTGCCCCAGGCACTGTAGCTCGCAAGCCTGAAGAGATCTGCAGAGACTAGACATTGAGAAGCACTTACAGTTTAAGAGTTGGGAGGAAAACCCAAGAAGAATATTCTGGGTAAAACCCACAGAATCAGGCAGGGGCTGAAAATTCAATCCACATGTGGACTGAGCCGGGAATCGAACCCAGACCGCAGAAGTGGAAGGTGAGGAAAGAACCACTATTCTAACCTGATGCCTAACCTTGAGACAGAATTCTTTTGGAGATATGCCAACTCTGTTGAATGTGGGTTAAGAAGTTAAACGATGATTCTCTTTGGCAATTTTAGGCATCAATGTCAGTCCTTCATTAATAGCTGTCCACCAGAATTTACCAAATAGCTGGAAAATATGTTGTGAGTATACTTTAAGTTTAACATTGGAAAGATCAAACAGCTGCAAAGATGCTCTGGGCACATTTTGATGTCGGTCTTGCTTTGAGATCTGATTTTTGTCTCAATTTTTTCATCGAATGATATCCCATGTTCTTTTTTTTTTGAGATTGTATGCAGGTTTTAAATGCTTTGCCTTTCAATTTGTATTCATCAGAACTGCCCTGGGATGAGCCCACAAACGCTTGTAAGGAGTTCAGTAACTGGCTGGACAGGAAGATGCACCTGTCACCGTGGAAGAAGATAGACCCTTTGCCGTTAGGTAAGTTGGGCTTTTAGTTTCTATATTAGCTGCTTGAGTGAACTGAAGAGGGCGCTGTAGAGCCTATAATGACAGATTTACTGTCCTGCTAAACTGTGCCCAGGAGATGCAGATCAACGGAAGCAAACAACAAATTATTCATATAATGTATACATTGCCCGATTCTGTTGTGGGGCTGAGTCAATTTGAATAATTCATTATTCAAATATTTGATTGAATATCTGAATATTCAGCACAGCCCTATTCTGTTGTAAGAGTAGTCATAAAGGGGTTCAAACTTCCAGAGCCCAACCTTGCAACTCGCCCTTCTTGTCCAAAATTTGTTCAATACAGGCGATTCTCAGTAGTGTGCCCTCCAAGAGTTTGAAACGCGTCGGCCAATCACGACGCGTCAAATCTGTCGACCCAATGCGTGTTTGGAAAGGGTCGACAGATTTCGCGTGTTGTGATTGGCCAATGTGTTGCTAACTCATAGAGGTACACTGTTGTGAATTGCTCATATTTGAATTGTTTCCTATTGGCTGGATAATCCACCCACTTTGCTCTGGGCGGCCAAGAGAAAGAACGTGTAGTGACCAACGGAAACCAGCACACCGGAAAAGCCCTGTTTGAAAGATGAATATATCGGGCATGCCATGTAAGTCGGCTCCTGTTGAGAGCAATGTAACCTGGCTTCAGCAGATACAACAAGCCTGAGGGTTTTACAATAATCTGTCTTCTCTCTCTTTTTTTTTTTCAGCTTTGCTGCGCAAAATACTGAATGAGTCGCCCTCAAGGCGATGCACGATAGCCACTATGAGGAAAGACAGGTGGTACAGTGCCAAAAGTGAGTACAACGCCACAAAGCGTTGATCTGCCCCCCCCTGCTGGAATGATAATTGACTGACTAACCCGGGGAACAGAACAGTTAGAGAACCCGTAATGATTTATGTATGTGCATTCCAACGGTGTTCAGTGGACCGTGAGTTGCCACTGGCTCAATAGCAAAGCGCACGTGTAGACAAAGTGTGACGCTATCAGTACCCACTCCTATGAAAAACCATTTATACTGCTACGCGCAAACGAAGGTGGTATACACGCCTGTACCATTCCCCTGCAACCAACAGGGCAGTGTTTCCCCTGTCTATTCAAGTGTGAGGCGGCCCACCTCACTGATTTTAGTGACCAGGCTTTTCTGTTGGATTTTACCACCTCACACTTAAAAGACACAAAGATGGAAGGAAAAAGCAGAATAAGTTAGATAGATTGAAATGAATCAGTTTAAATCATCCAGAGTGATACTGAAAGACACAGAATACAAGATCAATTTCTTGTAGAGGAGAAATTTGGAGTAAATGTACTGCTCGACTGTATAGAATTTATTTAAGGTTTTTTGAAAGCACTCCTGATTCAGGCACTAGAACTTTGGCAAAATTTGTTGGACCGCTTCACACATATCAGTAGCCCAGGGGAACCCTTCAATGGGGTGTCATAACTTGCTTAAGTGCGTATCTGCTCACGTTAGGGGGATGCGTGCTTGAGTGAGGTGCAATAGTCTCATCTCCTCATATTAACGGAATATGATCCGTGTTATTCCCCAAAAAACGGTTCTTCAGCAGTGAGGGAGGCCATTGTTCAGGGTTCAACGCTCGCATAATATCACTGAAAGTTTGAACTGGATATTTATAAAGTCTCAGAAATCCCTTTTGGCCTGTCTGAATCAGACTTTGTGGAATGTCAATAGAGAGCGAGCTAAAACTGTCATTATTTGTGCGGCAAACTATAGCAAAGTAAAAATTGTAGAGGTCATCAGTTTTTTTCATTATATGAACCTTAAATTGTTAGTTTCATATTTGGCAGGGTTTTTTGATCATCAATCATCTTTAAAATGTATTTGCATCCTTTGGTATTATGTAAGAGGTCTCTGACTTGGTGACATTGCAAGATTTTTCATTGCCATTTTCTCAAAAACTATTTTAAGGTTCGCAATCAGTACGTATACATGTGTTTCCAGTACAAATCTCCCATACTTAAACATTATACCATCAGAAAGCTCTTGGTCTGCATAATCCAGAATGAGCATATCTCATTTCTTCAAGAGGCTGGCTTCATTCTCATCTGGTCACATTTATTGGAGAAATTTTGCAAGTGTCATAAATGTCATAAAATAACAAACGTCATTGTGTAGGTGACTGCTGATTATCATCAATTCATCATCATCAATCATTCATTATCATCAATCCCCATATAACCACTTTCCAAGTTTTTCCGAATCCATTTCCTTAATCACAGCCTGGCCGCACAGACCACCGTCCAGCTCACCGACGAGCTCGGGTTCGTTTAAGCGTAGGTGCTCAGGGAATGACCTTTCGCCGACGTCCTCCATCAGAAGGTATAAGTTTAAACAGAGGTTTGGCCATGGCTAAAAAAAATGCACGTGCCTACGGGTATTGCCGATGGCTTCCATGAGAGTGTGTAGTATATCCCCAATCAGATCAGGGCCGCCTTCCAATACTCAACTTCGTCTCTGTCTCAGGCTACCTCCCCGAAACCAATTCCCGATTGTGGGCCTGAAGCGTTCAAATCAAATTGGATTACTGTAATTCTTTTGCTCTCTTGCATCTTATTTGATGTTTTGTGGCACTGTTAGACTAATTAGTGCGCTTACAGCTTCTAAGTCAGGTAGTAAAAAACAGTTGAAGCCTGAGACGGAGCCGAAGTTGAGTGTTGGAAAACGGCCCAAGTAATACGGGTGACTCATAATACAGTGCGCCACCAAGAGGTTGCCAATATTGTGAATGTCTTACAGCTGAACTAAAGGCTGCGTCCGAATTACCTGGCTGTGGCCTAACATTATGCACAAGTCTATGGTAGCGGCTGCGGCCAGTTCCCATAGAGTTGTGTGTAATTTCAAGCCATAGCCAATTGATTTGGACATGGCCTGCTGATGCTCGGGTTGTGTTTCGTTGTTTTTAATCATCCATGTCAGTAGTTTGGGTAGCCATTTGAACATCCACATGCAGATAATGTCTTTTCTTATGGTAAGCGATGTCCAGGTGTTGGCAGGTGGTGACAGACTTTTCCTATATCCTATCTTTTCTTCGCGCCCACCTCACCCGGCAAACAAATACTCAGAGAGAACTCGGCCACAATCTCAAGTTCGCAGCCCATACCCCTCGCTGCCCCTGACACACCTGTGCCCGAAACAACCAAAGAGTCGGTGGAGAAGTTGATCTTGGGTGTCAGCTTCTCTCAGCCCGTCCACATGGACTCACTGCTACTGAGTAGTCAGATACAGTCTACACCTGGAGGCTCACAGGTGAGTATAATACTTCGCTTATACTTAGCACCTACAAAACCGGTGAGTAACTTTAATTCTTTACTCATCTGCAGTACTTACTGAGCAGGTGAGTAACTTTAATGCTTCCTTTGTTCGCAGCACCTGTGAAGAGAGTTAAGGCTGTGCCCAGTATTGAGATATTTGTGACCCACTCTGTGAAAATGAGTCACCATTCGCCAGAGCCAATTTCAAGTTACAGTCCTTTGAAAGATCGTTGCACTCTGGAAACCCCCAAGAACGGTCAGCATTATTCACAAACACAATGTCCATTTCCATCAGGATGCCAAAATGAGTGATACATCAAAAACAAAGATCCATATCGTAAGTTTTGGTCCTATGAATGCAAACTAAAAAAACTGAAAGAATGGCCTTATGACTTATTTGTACAGAGTGGGTTGAAGTTGAATAATGGATGGATATGCTTTGACTTGGTGAAGCAGAATTGAAATGCTGTAGAGCACAAGGCCACAAAATTGGCATGGGCGAGTCCATCGTCAGCCCCCTCAGAACTCCAGTCCATAGTCCTTTCACAAGGTCTTTCCATCAGCAACAAAGTGAGCGGGGATGACAAAGGGGTGTTCTTGTCACAGACCTTACGAATGACCGGTGACTGCAGCCGACTCGGGACCGGGTGGCTTGGTATTGGTGGGATTGAAAGTGGCTGAGAAATAAGATGGTCATCTGTGGGACATAATCTGCAGCCTCTCAGCCAGTGGCTTCCCAATAGACACCCCGAAATATCTTCAGACTAACCTGTTACAGGTGGCCTTAGCGTGCAGAATTTTGCATCAAAATGCGCCAGACATTTAAGTAGCTGTCGGCGCTCGATGTTCATAAAATTCAGTGCCCAAAAGCTGTTCAGGGGAAAAAGTGCACGTGTGAGAATCTTATTTCCGCTCACGCTGAGTGGCATTTCTTGTCTTCGATGCCGACAGACACCTATGCAGAGACTAGTCAAGCGCATGACCAGGGTTTTCACCAAGCTCAGACCGGATGAGGCGGTCAAGAAACTGACCGCTGTACTGGAGAAGATGGGCTATGTGTGGAAACTGACCACAGTGAGACAGGTAACTATTATCAATCTCACCTGTATTCCATGGTATCAACATAATCTCAAAAAGTCTCACATTTGAATACCCCGTTCATCCTACAGCACCAGCCGAGGTGGGTGCATGTGTGGTCTCCAACCTCGTGGATACCTGGTTATATACCTAAGGGAACGTTTCCTAATTACAGAAGGCGGTATTTACTGCAGTACCGCTGTATTTTTGCGGTACCAGCATGAAGCCCTTTCGAATAACTAGTGCGGTGCCACTAAAAAAAATTATTTATCATGAAATATTATGAAATGCTCCCTAATTTTGTTATAATAATTTATTCAATTTTTATTGCGTCTTCTCCACGGCCTGCTCGTTCAAGAGGCCATTACAACCTACCAGTCGTAACACTACCTCTGCCTACACACTGTACATTAAAACAAAATTCATAAATACCTGGGACCATTTTTCTATCCCTATTGGTCAAAATGCATCACATGACCGTATACATTAAACATTTGATAATGCCCGCTGAGAGGTGATAATGCCGGCTGCGTCAGGCGCGCACGGGCTCCTGGATACTGGACAGCGTAATCAGGTCTGATTGGTCAGCAGTCTGTGTGCACGCGACGTGACACACGCATGCACAGTTCATCGAAGGGGATTCTATTGGACGACCGGTAAAAGGAATATACCATGAAATGGACAGGGGTGTTCGGGAAAGTGAATAGAACAAAATCTTTGGAAATCCATAATATGGCGACTTCTTTTGACACTCTGAATAAAAAGGTATTTATGAATGGGAATAAATATGTGCTAAGCAGAAACATTTTATTCCCAAAATTATCAGAGGAAAGAAATTCTACAGTACCCACCCTGAACCCGTTTTTGTGTTGTCTCAAATGGCTTAAACAAGTGCTTTTGTATCCATAGCTACCCGATTTCTAAATTGAGGCCTTCTTTAATTTAACCAATCAATCAGTGATGCTTAGAGGCTTGCACGGTGTAACATTTGAGTCGGTTGCTTAAAAACAATTGATAGACGTCATCATTCCACTCTGAGGTATGTGACTGTGCAGTCGTCAAGTCCCTAATTTGGCTTCTTATTGTGAAGTCTGTTTTCTGTCGCAGTATTTGGTACAAAATTAGGGATCTGGGGACTATATGCCTTGAGCAGAAGCATCCTTTCATCGGTTAAAAGGAGCCATATTGGTCGGGAGTGTCCATTTTGTTGGTAGCAATGTGACCCCAAAGTGAGCATTTCCTAGTCGTTCATGAACCAGCGAAGTTCAGTTCCAACCAAAGCAGCCTCTGTTTGTCATTAAATTGCACCCTCTCTTGGTCCAGCTCGAGGCTCCAATGGTCACTGATGGCCATTTTGTTGGTTAAAGATTTGGAGCCCCCAGAAAATTTAGCAACCCACCCTACTTTTTTCAATGTACTGGCATGCAGAATCATTGGTTTGGCCCTATTCTGATCTGAACCGTTTTCTATGTCTTCATGACAGGTTACCATTTCATCTCAGGATCGACGAAAGAATCCACTAATCTTCAAAGCTCACCTACACGAAATGGACGACAAAGTGCTCATAGACTTCAGACTATCAAAGGTAAAACACAAGACATGTACATGTAGACTGGTTCCCAGTCCCTCAGTTGTCCTTCATATGTTGGGACTGGTAGAGGGCGGTGCATTAAAATGGAGGAGGAAAAAGCTGTTTGCGAGTTAAATTGGAATAACCTGGTACACTCAGGTGTATAAATTCACCTGAACATTATTGAAATTCTCCATACTATAGCCACTGTTGCTATACCTCGGGGCAAGCTGTTGCTTAGTCACATAAGAGAAACCTTGCGACAATACACTGTTTGCTATGGATGAGAAAGGTACAAAGGAACCAGTCCATTCCAGAGATGGTGGTCGCTAAGCAAAAGATTGCCCCAAATCACAAGGTACAGTGTATAGCAACAGTGTCTTTAGTCTGAGAAATTTAAATCGTTATGTTCATGTGCAATCAGATAACCAGTGTACCAGATTTTATTCAAATTTAACTCGCAAATGGATTATTCCTTCAGGTTTATACTAATAAGGAAATTAGCATAAAGCCACTTGCCACACTGCAGTGGCTAGCCAGAAAGTCACTGTGCTTAATGCATTTGTCCTCTTAAAACGTGAGCACAAGCTCGGTGTAGAGGCTTTTCATGCGGCGTGACATGATGGGCAAGTGCATTTCCAATGTCCATGGAGGTGCGTGTACTTTCAATTTGGGTATTTCTATAGGCAATTTTATGTACGGCAGAATGTTGAGAGACCTAGAATGTGCGTGCATTTCCACACATCGGTGTAAATTGGGTGCTAACCTTCAAAAATCATCTAACTGAGAATCCCCTGTACATTGTATAAAAATATCATGTGGCCTAAAGCATTCACGTACATTTTATCACAAATTTTGAATTATTCTGAATGTAAACTGGCAATTTGTAAACAAAATGTTTTGTTACAGCTACATGTATTTGTACCATCTGGTTTCACAAATGAAAAGTTTCTCTTTCAATTCAAGATGGCCAACATTTCTTGTTAAATGCAACCTGGGCAGTTTCCACCTGTGGTCTATTTTTAGTTTGGAACAAGGCAGATGTCAATGTATACTTCCCAGTATTGAGTCATCTTTGCTTTCTCTTTTGTCAGGGTGATGGTATCGAGTTCAAGCGCCACTTCCTGAAGATAAAAGGAAAGCTGGCACACATCACCACCAAAGTACCCCCTCTCACCCCTTTTATCTGAATGGATTGACCCAGATGGGTCAAAGGCTACCGTCATAAGCATTATGTTTCCCCAGAGGGTCAAAGTATTATTAACAACTCCATTAATGCCAAGGTAGTTTTGCATTTTTAAGTATTATTGCCAGGTTTTTCTTTGATCATGAATATTCAATGTAAAAACATACAATTTCAAGTTTGCAAAAATCACACTACATTCCATAAATTTATGGATATGTTGAAGAAAAGTTTGAAACTCAGGAGAGTTGTTGAATGTTTTATGACAGAAACATTGGTAAACCATTTTTGAAATCATTAGGCTGAAAGAAATGCACTTAAGAAAGTTTTTGCATCGTGAACAAAGTAACTTCAAGTCACTGCCAAATGTGGCAAGTTGTTTAACCATCTAGCAAGATATTTTTTTATTGTAATAATCTTATCAAGGCCGTTAGATGTACTTGTCCAGCTTGGCATGCACATTGATTGCCAAATTCAACAGCGCTGATTGATTGTTACATCCAATGTGATTGATCCATCGCCCAGCTATTCCAAGGAACCCTTTGCCCGTGACAGGAAACGCACGAGCTTTAATCCATTCAAACATTGGGATAGGATGTCTTGAGGTTGATCGAATAATTTACACTCCACTCAAGAGATACCGTCAATTTTAACATCTGAAACGGGTAAACCTTCAGTATACGGCAGCATTTCTCTGAGAAAAGCAACATCTGCCCGCTTGAAAGGGGGAAAAAAAGACAGTTGACAGTCCATGCAAGTGCATCAATGGTTTATTCTAAGAAATGACACCCTCATTAAAGTGTCAGCACTATTGCCTTTCGTTATGAGATTTTGTGGCGAGACGGTTTAATAATCAGACGCTTAGCAATTCGTCGGTGTTTAACCTGGTATTGATCATGATATCGCTGCACGGTTGAAGTTGGAATCATTCCGAAAACATTGGGGTTTTTATTTTTATAACCAGCCTGAGTTAAGATATGGAACCTCTCCTGTTTCGTCTTTAAGTAGAGTGAGAAACCCGAGGGTGCCAGACGTGAAAATTAAACGGCTTTGAGCAGAAGCACCCCCTCATCGGTAGAAAAGAGCCACGTTGGTCGGGGGTGTTAATTTTTGCCAGGTATGGTGACGCGTGCGTTTCATAGTCGTTTGTGAACCAGCGAAGTGCACTTCCTACCAAAGGAGCCTCTGTTGCTAGAAAAATTGCGCCCTCTCTTGGTCCAGCTCGTGTCTCATTACTAACGGAATTCCTTACGCTTTCTCAGTTGGGATCGAGGTTTTGTTCCAAAGCTTTCAATTTAAGATTTTAAGCTGGTATGTATGCACATGCATTCGCTGTGCCTGTAATTTTTCTACATCTTTATACCGATCAAGTACTTTTGCATTTGGAGATATATTTTTGTAATCTTTGAAGAACACTTTTGTTAAACGCTGTTGCGTTTTTCTCGAAAGCGAGTACATTGTGTGTGCAGTCTGTTAGTGTTTGCGTTGTCCAGGCCCCGTGAAGTGATTTTCAAAGCTTGTGAGTGTGCCCCATTCAGGAAGTAGAAATGGCCAGATCCTCAAAATCAGACGAGAGGAGTGTTAATAGGAAGCAAACTTTTCTTCATCTTCATTCAGAAAGGAACAGTAAAGCTAAACAAGGTGACTTCACAATGTCAGTTTAAAAACGTTCATTCCGATTTAGGATAGTCACTGGTGTGTTAGATCCCAATTGAATTCCTAATGTTCGATGATATCGACGGCCGAAAAATAGCTCCCAATACAAGTACGAAACAGTGAAGATGCTTATGAGCAGTGGTGTCGCAGGATGCGGGAGCTGAGAAATGAGGAAAGTGAGGAAGACGAACAGGCAAAGGGACGGAAACAAAAGGAAAGAAGAAGGTGAACATCACCACGCACTGTCCTTGGAAATACCTCAGAGTTGACCCCCTTCCGCCAGTGATAGGTTGTCAGTTTGCCGGCGATGACCCCCCCATATACACCTTACTTGCGACACCTACAAGTATAATAACAGTGAATAATTCTCGTGTACACTACCACTCACGTTCAATATACACAGAAACTCTTTTAATTCATGTCTTTTCTCCCTTATCCATTTTAACCATTGACGTGGGAAATTACTACGATTTAATTAATTGACCCTTGAGCATCGGAGCGGCGTGTGTGTTTACTGCATCCAGTCTTACAATGTCTTTCTACATTTGGGTGCAGGCTGCATAGAAGTAGAAAAAGTGCAGACGCCCCGGGATGCGTCCCAACTCCTTTTGCAAAAGACAAGTTGTTTGGTTCTGTGAGCAGACACTTGACATGTTGCTCGCAGACTTCTGGTCGATTTAAAACATGTACATTATAGGTCACTATACATAGTGCGTAAGACGTTTATGCATCTTTTGCTCTCATAATAACTTTAAACGAGCAGAATGTGCAGCGATTTCATATACAATTGTAGAACACTGATTATTATATATATGTGTACTTTATGAAAATGACATATATCTATCTTGACTACATTTCAGAACTGTAGACAGAGGAGAACACTGGCGTGTAGTTTGGGAAATCAAAATATATAAGACAATGGCAGGTGTCAATGGTGCAATATATCGTAAAGTTGACAAAAGATGAAACCACCAAAGTCTCCGAAGTCATTTTGGTGATCTGATATTGACGCTAACGATAAAAATGAAAACAGCAACGATACTGCACGTATAAAACGCTGTTATAAAATCGAACAAGCAACTAAATGAACACGAATTCTGGCAGTAAATGAAATTGACTCGACTATATAGAATGGAATAACATTTTGTGCCTCTCAGAAGGACCTTAACAGTAAAAGTTAGTTTTTGGAAAGCTGGCTGTAAAATCCAAGACAGTCAACTTCCCGAGCCGCCCTCGAATCGTTCTCTCGCTGCGATGTTTGTTTCATGTGCCGATTTTCGTGATGGCGCTTCGCATGATCCATTCCGTCACTGCGAACATCCCCGGCAGTCAAATTCAGCCCTGTACAACGTGGGGCAGTCAGCGACCCCCGGTCTTTCCGATTGCAAGTGCATATACGAGGAAACAAAGTGAACTTCATGAGGATGTTTTTCCAACAACGACGGCAGCGAAGACAACCAGATCGACCAGACCGGCTGACGGCTTCAGTGTTGCTGCAGCCCCGGACTGCAAGCCTCTAGGAGTTACCTCTGTTAAACAAGAACCATTGTTTCCCTTTAATTGTTATCCTGATGGAAAGTACAGATCGTAAAAAAGGGGCTACGTTTCGGCCAATGCGCTATACTTCGGGCACATAATTTATAACTTGAAAAAATAATATTAATAAATCAGGACTACGTCCACCTTAAATCGAAAACCATACTTGTGTGACTCTTTCTGGGGAAAAGGGAGCATTATTGTTCCAGGTCAAAATGAATAACATGTATTTTCCACCTATAACGAAGTTCTTTTCTCTACCAGGTCTGCCCCAATCTGACCCAGCAGTTTTCGAGTGTAACTATCCACCTCTAACCAACAACAGTTCCCCTTCACGCTCTGTTTTGTAGTTTAAGAAGTTGGAAACAGACACTGTTTTTCAACGTAGCTGGGGCAACTTTTGTCAATTGTCTAGAAAGTCTTTCATTTGAAACCCATGAAGCCTTTGATCAAAGAGGTCTTTCTGCACAGCGCCATGCAACCCATTTTCTAGCTTAATTCCAATACCTTGCACCCAGAGCTCTTAGGTTACGGAGGCCAATTAAATTGAATATTCACCCCACACCCGTGCCGTTTGAATCTGAGGGGAACAGGTATAAAGAACGGTTGCCCTTGATGTCAAATTTCAAGGGTTGTCGCAGTTTGCACTGCCTTTTGGTTGCGACTTCTTTATCAATAAAGGCAAGGAGTTTGCATGGTCACAGCTTACTTTGTTCGTAGGTTGCTCTTCCATTCGCTGTCGCCAATTTCGGCGCAGACGGGGCGTTTTCTGTAACGGGAAAAAGGTTAAGGCAAACCGCTGAGTGCATTGCCCCTTGAAATTGTTCAAGGTCATCATCGTAAAATGTTCCTACATGTACAGGGATTTTTTCCATGCGCAAAGCGCTTGTTAGCCACTGGTACTATTTGTTTTCTTCGGTTGTACATTTGGTAATTAATCTATTTTTATTATTTTTGTTTATTTTTACCAATATGAAGACCCCATTGGACATACGTAAAAGTCGCATCAAAGTCACGTAACTGTTTTTCTTACAAACGTGGTAACGTGGTATTAGGTTTTAATGCTGTGTCACGAAATAATCACGTGATTCGATTGCGCTAATAAAGACCATTATACAATCAAAGCCTTTATGAGTCACGCAACAGACAAGTCATTAGTTCACCCTTTTATCACGTAAGCATCACGACCCTGTTCTTCTATCATGTTTTGCACACTTATTGGCACGTTGCACTGCCATGTTTTTAGGGTCTTGTTATTGGCCACACTTGTTTAGGTCTCCGATAAGTTTCTATTACAAAGGAAACACCGTCCTCACCAACTGCCTTAAAACAGTCAGGGGACATGTCGGGGGAAAAGCTAGCAGACTCTCCCAAATGTAGAGCAGTAAAGCATTGCTGGATGGTACGAAAGTCCCATTGCGCCACAGACAAAAAAAAAAAAAAACGTGTGGGAGACTTTTTCTTTATTACATATTAATAACTCGTTATTACGAATTCGTGATAACAAATTAGCAATTCGTTATAACGGATTAGTAATTCGTAATAACAGAGCAGTATTTCAATTTAACGAATTAGTAAATCTAAAAACGAAGTACCAATTCGTTATTACAAATTAGTTTCACACTGATTTTGTTTTGTCTGTATCAAGATTGGGCTTTCGTGGGATGGTAATTGGTAACGAAGGTTGTGCCGTTTGGCAGCACAGCACTGCCTTAGGCGAGACTGTGGAGACATTTGATGGTAGCAAACACATTCGCTTGTCTTACACCCCCCATACAATTACAAAAGAGGACAGCTGTGTTCACCAGCGCCAATCGACTCAAGCACACACCCCTTACACGTACCAATTAAGGGGTCAACCACGAGTGGTGGTGTGTAGGCACTTTCGGCCTTGAATGGCCACTGGTTTATTTGCATACGAACTGATGCATCTAGTTACTGATACATGTACAGAGAAAAACTATTTTCATTCAAAATGTGGAGTAGATGCATAAGCCTTTCTTCGTCTGTATTCAGTACACAGAAGTACAGTCTCACTGAGGTGCGCCAAAACAAACCCAAAGCTTACGATGCACGTCGTGTCGTTCACAAAGAGTATTTTATCCTAATGTCTTGTGTACATGTCTTCATAGAAATGTTCTAGCGGAAAACTCAACGAAACCGCCTTGAGCAGAAGCACCCCCTAATTGGTTGGAAAGGGCCACGCAGTTCAGGAGTGTTCATTTTGTTTTAGATTTTCAGCGATGCGACCATAACGCTTGCATTTCCTGGTTGTTCGTGAACCAGCGAAGTTCAGTTCTGATCAAAGGAGCCTCCGTTGCTACGAAAAATGCGCCCTCTTTTGGTCCATCTCAGGGCTCACATGGACCTTGTATCACAGTTATCTGCTTACCGTTTGCCGTGTAGAATGTGAACGCCGTTGGTTCCCCCTTGCCGTACTGATTGCGACCATAGATTGTCATCTGGTATGTTGTATTGGGTCTCAGATCGCGTATGACGTAGTTGTACTCTTGCTGTCTATCGACCGCTGGTATCACCTCCCTCAATGGGTTCTGGTGCGTGTAAACTACTCTTTGTAATGCGCCAGTTTTCTGCAAACATCATATAGAAGCAATTTCATAAAAAAAAATTTGTAACCCCTTTCAAAAAGAGCCTTTTTTTGTCATGTTCAGTCGATGCGGCTCTCACCCCTGCGACTTTGACTGTCTTAATTATTACCAACCTGTTTGCATTTTGGCAGGCAGGTAAAGGCATTGTTTATTAGTACATCACGAAGATTCGATTCGATTCCATACAAACTTATCACGCTTTCACGCAAGTTGGACCACGTGCAATGTACACAGAGACTAACAATGGAAAAGTTAACATTTTGGGCCGACCTGTCTTGGGGAAAACCATGCCCAATTTGCCGCATACCATACAGGAGAAACACCTGCAGCGGGTAGATCGGGTCTACCGGTTAAGCAAGCAGGCGGTCCGCAGTGTTTTAAAAGTTGATTAAAAGTGCTGACATCGCACTGAGATTCAGCACTTGAGTCCAAGCTGACAGATACTCAGGTACGGGACTTAATTTTAACACGCCGTTTTATAAATGTTCAGTGTGCAATGCGTTATCTAACAAAAAGTGCTGAAGCTTTATGATAGCAGGGGGAGGCATGCCAGTGGAGCTGACGGCAGATAGCCCACGGAAAGGGAGCTGTCGGAAAAGGTAATTGCCGATTGTGGAATGCAGCTTTGGGGACACCCTTTTGGTCAAAACGTGGCCCTGATTAATCGGGCTGTTTATGCAAAAATCTACATCAATAATGAAAGAACGGAGTACGGCGAAATATCCAACACAGGTGATCGCCCAACGGTAGCCAGTGATATTAGGCCTAACTGGGGTCCGCGGATAATTACTTACTTGTATCCACCAGCCGCGAAACTGTATGACGTAGCTGCTGACGAGAATCTCTTGAGGGCGCCACTCGTCGGGAGGCATTCCTGGCTGCCATGATAAGGAATAGGCGTGGCGTCTCGTCGACTTCGGTGCGCTTGTCACCCTTGGTGGTAATGGGCGCCCTGCACGAATTAAAATAAATGCTTCAAATGAAGCTCCAGTCAAGATTCAGACTGCAACTGTGTAAATTCAAGCAAGATTATATAGACCCTTTTCACCCACGTGGCTAAATGTAAACAATACCACCACGTGTGGACCGCCTTGGCCACGCCGATAGTATATATTCCTACGGGCAGCTTCAACACGTGCAAAAGTACGTGCGAACGCTGTATGCTTGACCAGGTTATCTAGAATAAGTAGATTACCATCACAACACATCAGAGGTCCAGCACGATCGTGACATCACTGGACAAAGCTCTGTATATGTCCTCAATGAAAAGCGATTCTGACAGATCTCTCACCTCAGGGCCGGTATGATCTTGGAACCACTAGAAGATGTGCCTGAGTTTGTGTCAGTTCAATTAATAAGCTGCAATCCAACCTTATAAAAAAGAGTTTTCAAAACCTAGACACAGAAAAGCAGCCAAAATACATCAAATTACTTCCTTATTGAAAGGCGAAGAGAAAATTTAAATCATTGTTGAACATTATGCTTTACAAAGCGTTGATCTTGAAAACCCAAGGGATAACAACCTATGTCATTTTCTTTGGAGAAGGGCAAACGTACATAATAAGGCCGGAGTGTGGGCGTTCCCGGTATCTCTTAATTTGGTAACTGTAGCTATTACGAGGTCTAGTCAAATTAGTGTCACGGCAGTCAATAATCGAGACGAGGGTGGACATGAGGATACCCTCCCTGCGATACGAATCTACTATAACTGTAGATTTGTTAGACATGATCCAGTGTAGGTTAGTAACGTATAGTAGTGCCGTTACAAGAATAGTTTAAATATATTTGTATTCGTACAATCTCAATCTCTCACGAAGCCTTGAGCCACGACCATGCATTAATGAACTAATATCGAGCAGTCACAATCAAGATCAGTGAAGCTAGTTCACCTGACACTGGCCAATAAAATTCCTTTTAGCACCTGAATGATTTGCCCTTTATAAAAGCTGTTTTGAAGGCGATCTTTCTCTCCTTGCGAGATAACAAAATGTTCAAAGAAAAACGGCCTGGTGTGCAGGTACTTTGGAAAATACATTTTGCTACTTTGACGACTGCTAATGGGAGACAGAAACGTCAGTGAACGAGCCATTCAGCATAAATTTGTGATTACGACAAAACGATTCGTGTAATTCCCGCAGTTTAACGAGGAACTTCATGTCAGGATAATTATATTTATCACATTCATCTAATGGAATCTGCGCATTCATAAGAACTTTCACACAACGCCCAGCAAGTTCTCCCTATTTAATTTAAAATTCAAAGACACGGTTGACTGTCCAAACTGTCAGGTTTAGCCCCCTGGACATGCTGACCACCTGCCTCACTTGTCTAACGCACCTCTCGGCTGAAGGATGAGACTGAACCCCCCCCCCCAAATGTTTTGCACTCCCTGGCACCTTAGGTTAGATATGATGCATGCAGGCCAAGTTACAACGGTTGTACTGTACACGTATCATACCGGTACTGGTTTCCCTGGATAGGTCATGTAACTGGTGTGGTTTATATTACGTCTCATTTTTCATTTCCAGAACATTTGCCGTTTAATGAACGTGTCTGAATGAAGTCTTGAACTTGAAATATTGTGAGACAATTTGGTCATTATCACCAACGGACAGAATTCAAATCAACCCCCAAATTCGATTCTTTTCAAATATCGTTCAAGGTGTAATTAGGCCAAATTTGATGGGTATTCTACTGTTACGGAAACAACAGTTGTTTCTTAAAGTTAAATAAGTGCGTCTTCGGTACCTTTCAGAATCTCTCCCTTAGTTGTCTCGAATAAATTTAGAAGGATAATACAGTTTATAAAGCATAAAATTAACCCCCCCCAAAAAAATAGCTTCAGATGCAACTGGCATATTGTTTTAGTCTTTCATATTTCTTAATCATAATTTTTTTAAATTTGATATGATGAGTTTTTGGAAACCATCTCTCGCATTACATTGTTAGAGAGTACGCAAGAAACATGTTGCTTGATGCAATGTCAGAAGCTTTGGCCATCTGATTGCCAGTTGTGTGTGTGACATGGCAACAAAGCCGATTCCATGCAGCTGATAAGCAGAAAGTTTTGTTCAGAAGTACAAGGTGCCGTCGCCACTTTAACTGACGGTGGAAGGCAATTTTGTGCTTATAGCGAGCTTGTGTGGTCAAAAGTACAATATTGATCATCTTACCGTGTAACTCTATGGACACAAAGGAGGCCCCCATCATGTTAGATGCTGTGCATCTGTACACTCCATAATCTTCGTCAGGGTCGACGCTCACCAATATATACCTGTGTATTTGAAAGGATATTACTTGGACCATGGAGGGAATGGTATGAGACGCCCAAAGAGAGCGTTTGCAATGTGTTAAAGAAATATGGCGTGCGAAATTAGCATTTAATCCGCGTATACAGATATGTCTATTCTTAATTAGCAGAGATATCTTTATTAGGAATAAAGATATCTCTGTTAGGAACCTGGCTCGTCTAGGAATAGACTGAGATATTCCGGGATTAAATATTAACTTTGCACGCCATAAAGAAAAATGGAAATGGGTTGACAACAACTCTGACTTATCCACCGAATCCTATCTGGTAATCGTTGAGTTGGCCTATATATCTGGTACAACACTAGTTTACAGTGTTATAAACCATGCTGTGAAGGGATGCGCTGAGCTTCAGTGGTGGCTCAGAGTCAGATTTTTCTTCTGGGATGACGGGAAACACTGATTGGATACAAAATGATTCTCATTAATTTATCCATGGAGAATCCTCACCACATTGGCAGTTTCATCTAAAACAGACAATGACCAAAACATAGACAGTTCCCACCCCCCCCCAAAAAAAAAAAACACACACACCCACACTCCCTGCTGGAGCACCCACTGTGTTGGCTTTTCCTCGTAGTAAATGTAAGCTCCATTACCCCCTTTTTGGCCTCAAGAAGTTGTGCCATCGCGGCAGGTCACAAGTCATAAGCTAAAAGTCATCGTTGCTGAGGCACCCCCGATACAGGGCACAAGCTCCATTCACGTAAATCGTCACCACCCATCACAATCAGCCTCCAATGCTCGAGCAGAGATGATCACCGCTTACGGATGAGTTGGCATACGGGACGCACCTTACAATCACCACTACCCTCATCAGGTTTGTAACGTCGGGGTTGGATGTCAGCACATGAGACGGTTTCTGTTACCGCCTGACGCCCAGCCGGCCCTATAACATTCTGTACGATGAGACGACGTTTCTGTGCCGCCTGGGTGATTAACATCTTGGGAGTTATGGAGGGGAACGAAATGTGTATCGTCACGGTGCGTTGCGACCGTGTGGCAGTGTAGGGTATTAAAGAAAGTAATCGTTTCTAAACTGAGGACAAAACATGCACTCACACACACACACATGTTAGCAGACTCATGGCGCCAGTCTCGTAGGCCATCTAATAATAATTGTACTAGAATAAAATTAGGTGGAGGATGGAGATTAAAGCTTTAAGAATCCGATTCTTTTTAGGGGGGGCTTTTGTTTTGTTTGTTTGTTTGTTTGTTTTGTTTATAATTGTGTTCACTTAGTTTTGTCTTCTTATGCTATTTTTTTTTGCTGATTGTTTTTAATTGTTTCTGCAACACAAAGCAGGATGCATTCAGCTATTTCTGAATTTTTATTTCTGATTTTTATTTATTTTGCGTTGTTGCGAATTTCCTCGGAAACGTCTTCTTAACACAGCCTAGATTTAAAGCCTGCATAAATCCGTGAAATTAATCTGATGTAAGCTCACTGATTTAGCTAGTTACGTGATTTTTAATATATAAGTGTACTTATTAGATTGGCAATTGTTTTCAAGTTGAAAATTCCATTGCAAAAAATGGAATAAAATGAAACAGAGCGACGAACGAACGGACAGGCACTTACGTGGTGTACTGCTTTCCGTCGCGGACCAACCCCTGGCCCGCAGTCTGGATGGTCACGTTGTCCCTTCGCCACATTATCTCAGCAGAGGGCACGGCACTGACCTCACAATCCAAGCTCACGTACTGGCCGCGACCCGCTCGGATGCTGGTGGCGGGTGAACGCACTACGGGCAAGTCTGTAAAGCGGTGAGAATCATACACCGTTTTTGATTAAATCAAAGTGATCTTGATCCCCGACTCCGTGAACAAATGTATTATATTCTGTATACAGGACACTATAATGCAGTGTACATATATGTGCCTAGATGTTTGGAGTAGACTCAACGAAGTTGATAACCTGAACACGTGTCCACATAGGACTTTTTGTAGTAGGGCCTGAAGGTAAAAGGTCACGCAGCGAGCTTCCGGAACCCTCGCGCCGTCCTCCTATAGGGATTTTACATTGGGCCGTCCAATCACGTTCGATATTTTTTGGAAGAATAATTCCTAGCTGAAACCCCATGAAACACAGTATAAAATATTTTGATCTGTTTTTACTTCGGCTTTACCGACGGACTACCATAAATTTGTAAACCGTAAATGTTCATTTGCGTACAAGACTGCCTCATTGCACTGTTCTTCATGTGTTTTAGATTTTCGGAAGTAATGGGTCAATTTTTTGCAGGATGTTTCTCGTTTAGGTCAAGTGATTTTTCAGTTTCTATAAATCGATATACTAGCAAATATTTTCCAAAGCCCCTTTTCTGAGTCGCATTTTTTAAGAAGTAACTGAACGAAAAAAAATATTACAAATTCTAAAATCTTTGCACGTTATTTTTCTTATCCAAGGTTTCCGAAGTGCGCCATCAGGGGTCAACCTTCAGGCTCTATTGTAAGGACCCACGCTTTCAGGTGGGAGGTCCACGCTTTCAGGTGGGAGGTAAGTTTTTAGTTTAGCTATGTGGTGACCATTATTTATCTTCGACAAGCAGAGAGCGTTTGCACGTTTAAAAAAAATCGATGTTTTTCATACATCACTGGCTGCTTAAAGTCATTTATGGGTGTTGTACCGAAGACCTACTTTCCCTGCATTCCGTCCGTAAAGTCATCACAATTTGCAATTCTCGCCCTGGGGACAGAGGTGTCAAAACTGCCTGGGCTGGAGGCGTTGTTGGCCGGTGCTAGTTACTTGTTGGGCTATCACATCACCCGACAAGGACAGCGTTGAAGGAAACATTATTCACCGTAAGCCGTGGTAATGGGTCAACTCTTAGTCTATATCGTTGATGGTTCGACATTAATAATCATAATTCGTTACAATCTGATGAGGCCGTTCACTGCGTCTCGAAGCCCTGATAAGTACTAAATTTTGTTTATACGACGCCTTGTCTAGCTCTGCACACGGATGACATCCTCGAAGCCATAAAGACCTATGCTGATGACGTCAAAGGGAAGCCACATGCGATAATGAACTGGCGGACGAATATCAGAAGGACAGTGCTACTTGGGCGACGAAAGTTAGCAGACACCTTATTAGTTTGACCTGCTTCACCAAAATGAAATGGCTGGCATGTGGGGCGCCAACATTTTAACGAACTCAATAATTCTACTCGGACGACAAAATATACGGTTCTGTATAACACTAAAAAATACGTCCACTCAGTTAGAGTGAGGTTTACAAATCATTTTCAGATTTTCATTAGAGAATACATCATTCTTTTCCGTTTCAGTGACGCACAAAATCATACAGATAAAATATTACATTTAACTCCTATTTCAATTTGATTGCTAAAAAAATTAACCTATGTGATGCTGTTGGTAGGATACCGGTAATCACTTTTGAAATTTTCTGAAGCATCATAGTGACTTAAGGGACAGAACTAAAATTGCAATTCTAACTTTGTTGTCACAGGAAATGCACACAAATGCATTCTGTCCCATAACACTATGTGATTTCGTAAGTTTTTTTTTTTTTGCTTTTTGTTTTTTGTTTTTTTTCCTCGTTTTTAGCTTGTTCAAGTACTGCGCCGATTCAAACAAAGCCTACTGTTCCCTGTAGAGTGGGTATCCGATAAAAAGGCAGGGGGTTCCTTTTTACCCATTTTATTGACCCCACGAGTTGTACATTAGAGATTGTACATGGAGGGAACTTTTTTTAATAGAAACCTACGTCAGATACAACACAAGACACAAAATTATATTGTTACAAACTGAATGTTATTTAATTAATACAGTGCCATACCCTCTGCCCAGTGACGACGACAGACCAGAAACAACTTACTAAATAATGTTCGCACTAAATAGAGAGGATTAATGGCACAGTTCACTGCCCCCTCTAGTGTCAAAGTGTTGCTGTCTGACTACAGGTGGACTTAACATTGCGTAGGCCTAAGGGCTGCAGACTTACACTGCACCACCACTTCGATGGATCGCTCGATGGTTCCAACCCCATTGGAGGCTGTGCAGTTATATACCCCGGCGTCCTGCTCGTCGATATTACTCAGCAGCACGGTGTCCCCCCACACTTGCGGCGATCCCCCCATCGGGGGATAATATCCAACTTTCTCCCATGTCACGGTGGGGTCGGGGAACCCGCTGGCGTTGCAGTATAAGATGGCGTCCGTGGTGCGATTGAAATACCTCCGGTCGCGGTCTGATTGGTCGAAGAAGGGCGGCGTGGTGGGCTCAAGCGATACTATGCTTGGTAAACCTGACCCAAGTAAGGATAATAAGTAAGGACTTCAGTTGTTTAATTATTTTGATTAATTATGGGTATATTCTGGTAAAACAGCGATAAGAGGAGGATTTAAATTTCAGACCCCAGAAATACAGTCTCAACCTTTTTTTCTCAAAGTTCTGATCCTGAATGTCTTTCTGGGAAGTATTCGAATCAGACGAAACAACAGTAAGGAAACAGCAACAATGAATTATGGTCGAATAGTTTAATATAAGAGTTGAATGAATTTAAACTGAGATAACAACGCTGAAACAAATAAAAATAACGAAGAAGTTTATTGAACGATGAGATACATAGACGTTGAAAACGGTATGAACGTGGTATCAAGGCTAGGCCAAAAAAAATTAAAAAGGGTCTCTGGTCAGCACGCGTGTCGATTTTGAATGCACGCGTCCTTTTGTTTTTATTTCTTTCTCTTTCTTTTTCTCAACATTTTGAAAACAGAGCGCTGTATTTCCACACCATCTAAACGTTCACGAGTAGGCTGATTCCAATTTCACATTTCAGAAGGGGAATTTGTCCAAGGAACAGACTAATTTGTGGGTAGTTCGTACCCGGTGATATTTCAGTTACGACTGCGTAATGTTGATGTCGAACACAAACAGTAGACCATGGGTAGGTAGTTGCAGCCAGCTGATCAACAACAATGGCGGCAAGAGGTGCGACGCGCTACTACTAGCCTTTGCACTTTGATCAAATATGCTCAGGCTCATTTCTGTGTCCGTTGCCCATCTTAAAAGCTACCCCCCCAAAAAAAGCACTTCATCAAATCTGGAACCTTGGTCTGACCAGAGACTGAGAACTGTTTTTTGGGGGGGTGCTTTTTTGTTAGGAAGTTATACTGACAGCACCGGCAGTAGCCTATAAGACGACGACGACAACCGACAACAAACAACAGCATGGACAACAATAATTACAACAGCAACAACAGTAAAACCAACAACTGGTATAACACTCACTCGGCACCTCCAGCTCCACAATCCGCTCTAACTTGAACCTCCTGGCCAGAACCTGGCATTTGTACTTCCCTGCGTCCGACTTCCTCACTCGGGTGATTCGAATGTTGAACGTGGAGTTGAAGGCTTCGATCTTGACACGGCGGTCGTCGGCGTACAACGTGTACATGCTGCTCAGCACTGTTGAACCAAACAAACGGGATGTTTACATTAACTGAACGACAGCCCACAATGGGAAATTTAATGATGTCCTTTACAAGCTACCGTGGCCCTTATTCTGATACCAGAAGCCCACTGTGTGCTTCTGCAGTTTTAGCGCCGCAGTTATTTATTAAGGAAACAGTTATGTTTTATTACTCGAATAAATGAAGCACGGCTTTATTTACTTGTTAATTAAGATGACTTTTCAACTCCTTTGTAGCAGTAAATACCGGTGAATAATAACGAAGATTGGAAGCACCTGTAAGCTTGATGTCATTATACGCAGAACAGGAGTTTTCCACACTTTTGTGTATAAAATAGAGGCACTACACCTTTCTTTCCATACATTTGTGTACAGTTCAGGTACCACACGCTTCTTGTACATTTCTTTGGGTATGGATTTCCCTCTGTACTTGCTTTTCATGTTAAATAGTTTATTTGGACAATAGAAGTGGCCAATATATCTTTAAACAACGCAATTGGGCGAGTTTGAAGGATTGATAGTACGGTTGTACACTGTCCTTATAATTATGCTCTATTGACCAGAAGTGCCAGTGCATCTCGTCTTACATGAAGCATGTCTCTGATGGTAACAATCCATCGGTCCTCTGCCCTGTTCAGTTGTCACCACGTAATAACTAGGGTGAGCCTTGGAGAAATTTGCCATGTGAGTCGAGTAAATTATAACTACATTTTGATGAGATCTTTCCATTGAAACTGAAGACTACGTCCCAGTAACTAAACATAAGTGTCTAGACAGTTGTCAAACACCACACCAAAATCACCCTCATTTTGGTTGGTTGTCAGCCTGGAGATAGAAGGTTAATCATTTTATGTGAATCAACTCGTAATATACCAGTATTTTGATATGGAAAGATACATTTAATTTGAAAAAACAAACTATAGGGTTCTACACCAAATTCAATGCAAATCCCACAAAAAAGCTTCCATACATTTGCTCTCAATTGTGTACAGTTCCAGAGTGGACTTTCATCCCAGCCCGCGTTTGGAAAGCCGCCATTGCCAACAACTTCAAACCAGGTTTGAAACTCAGGATATTAGGGACCTAATGAACTGCTTTTACCCAGATAGCGCCTGCCAGCCCGCAGTGGTGTAACCGTCGTGCGGGTGGTTTCAAACGCAGTACGGACACGTAAAAAAAAAAAAGCCTGGTCGTCTGGTGTCACCGGCTGTGTCTCCTTGAATTCTCTGGGGGGTAGATTTGGCAAGGATCTGTTTTTTAGTCTCAATACGGTCACTACTCTGAAAAATTTGTCAGAAACTGAGAACGACAAAATGTTTTATGGGAAATACCGAAATACGCTGTCAAAGTTCAGCCATCAAATCATTCGCCGTAGAAAGAAACATCAACAGCAACTAAATTAAGAAATGTTGTTAAAAAAGAGGGAGAATTTGACCTTCTGAAATAAAAATCAGCGAGTCTACAACAGACGGAATGGCGTAACTATAACAGGGGCATGTTAGCACACCTCTCATCTTTCTATCTGCCTTGCATTGGCTTAGCTTCACTTCGAATAAGGGCAGAATGACACTCACATTATTTAAGACTATGGCAAAACTTATAACTAGGGTGTTTCTACACCAGATCGAGGTCCCAAGGGCCCTGCCCCTGGAAAGTTTGATTGCAGTCACAGCACGGGTGTTCACATGTGTTAAAAAAACCGCTCGGGGGTGCACGCTGTACGCTTGTGAACAGGCTGGCTTTACACGCACACGTTGTCCGGGAACTGCTGTTTCTCACTGCATGGATATGGGAAACTGGGTTACATTCCCCGAACGAATACAGTAGGAAATCTACCTATATAGTTTACCTCAAGGGGAAAAACGTACTTAAATCACACTGTACTCGTCATGAAATATGGTAGCTGTGTGGATGCCTGACGTCGAACATGAAGACTCCTGCACCGTGTGCATACAGTGATATATGCTCCCTCTCTCGCCTGATTCACGTACGGGTGTCAAGGCAAATGCCTTGTAGATGGTACACATGACGTTGTAACCATATGCGTTTTAACCCGCACACTGTGGAGTCTGAAAGGTGAGCATGTGCCCTAACCAAGGTACGCAGGGATCACGAGTCGTTCGGCTCATACGAGCTGTAAAGGTGAAGCCAGGTGATGTACGTCTCAACCTGAACGTGCGCGTTGTTAAAACCTGAAAGTGCGACTAACCATTCGTAAACAAACCACTTATACAACTTGAAACTCGCGATAAACATTGTCTCGGGAGGGGGGGTGTGCAAAACACCCCAGCATATCTTTTCCCTACACGGTGTTATACTGATTCGATAAATGAGAACATTATGTAAGCATCTACAGTAATCTCTACTTACGTGTAGTCTGTCCACGCCACCAAAAGACGCGTTTCCTGCCCAGGTTGACGATCTCGCAGCGTAGCACGGCCGTGCTTCCTTCCTCAGCTACGAGAGTTTCCCTGGCCGCGTTGATGAAGTAAGTCTCGTTGGGAGCTTAGCAAAAAAAAATAGACCTTATTTACGCGAAAGAAATTTTTACCTTGTTCCCTGAATCCTTCTAGTTCAAGGTTATCTGGTAAATGGGGTAATGCTAGATTATTTTGAGTTACAAACCTCATTTGTTTTTTATGCGGCTTAAAGCGAACATTACTCTGAACAAAAACCGACATGGATTTGTATTTCGTGCCTCCTGGTTTTACTCCCAGCTTCCGATAATAAAAAAAAAGTTTTACCTCACTTTCAATTCAAGATGGCTGACACATGAATACAGTCTGTTGGACTGATTAGGCCTATGGCAGTCTACATTGGGGAGGCAAGCTTGCAAGTTTCTTGAACGAAAGACATAAATAACTAACAAAATAAATAAAAATAAAGGTAACCGACTGGGACCATCCAAAGTTACGCGCGTTTTGGGTCCCTCCGTTTGCCCTATGTACAATGTCAATGGACAGTGAGGGAGACAAGGCTCACCAAACATGCGCAAATGAAAAGAGGCCTTAGGTTGTTTTCTTATGATGGGCATCGGTATCGAGTTGGTTCTTTGCTCCCTTTTTGCCAGCACATAATGATGCTGATTAACAAAATCTCTCGCGTGATATTTCCACAAAATTAAGTCCAGGACCCATACTGCTTAGCATATTTCTCTGCAGTAAGCAAAAAATATATTTTTAACAAATCGGAAACAGTCGCGAGTGTATGACAATAAGGTTGTGACCTACATTGACTAAGCAGAAGGTCCATGAGCTATGCATATTTCTGTGCTAAGCAGCTATGTGGAATAGGGCTTCTAACTTCCGAGGACCCATTGATCGAGAGCAGGCCACGCGGCCAGTTTGAACAGTAGATAAAGCAGTGGTTGGCTGTGAGTCACCACGCACAGTACACTCTATGCGAGCGAAAATCCACATATGGAGGGGAGTGCTTAGGGGAATGGGAAGTTAACTAATTTGAATGGAATTGATGACTTTTTAAAATTATTTTAAAACTTGTTTTGACTTCGACATTTATGAAAGGGAATATGCGACAGCCTTTTGGTCGGTCCTTACGTTTCTATTTTGAAGTGCCACCATAGCAAACGTATTGTTGCAAACAAAGTCTTGGAAGTCAACTCCTGAACACAAAGTGCCCCAGACCAGTGGTAAATCCAGCTACTCTCCGAGGACATTCCATTTGAACGACCAGTGAAACTATTCTTCATCCTCCCGTCTTAAAAAAAAACCAAGTGAACACACCCACACACACACTGAAGTGTGTATTTGCCTGC